TAATTAATTATAATTAATTATAATTATCCTTAATTAATCATATTCATTCATAATTAATTATATTAATTAAAATAATTAATTACACTTAATAAAAATTAATTAAAACATGATTAATTATAATAAAAATATAATTAATTCATATTAATTAATTTTAATAAATGATAATTAATTAAAATAATTAATAATAATTAAAATTTATTAATTAAAATTAATTTTAATTAAAAGTAATTATAATTAATTAAAAATTAATTATAATCATTTAATTAAAATCAAATATAATTAATAATAATAAATATAATTAATTAAAAATATTTATAATTAAAAGAAGATTAATTAACACTAATTACATCTCTCCCTCCCCTCTCTGTAATTCGGCAGACCTACGGGATTTGGCTGAAAAGCATGTGCAAGGGAGAAAAGTCACCTGCACAGCCGGCGAGCTCTGTTCTTGCACCCGATCAGAATGTCGTAACTTCCAATTCGACGAGAAAGGGAATGTTGTCGGGATGGCGAAGTCGATCAGGCACGGAGGAGTCGAAGGGAATGAGCTCCGATCCTGGCTTCCGAACAAAGTGCCGTAACTTTCGGTCCGACCACAGGGGAAGTCGTCGAACGATCAATGTCGATCGACCGTAGAAGGCCGAGGAAGCGCGTGAAGGTTAAAATGTTACCTTCATGGCCACGAGCTCCCGTCTGCTTCCGATCAAAATGTCTTAACTTCCGATCCAACGAAAGGGGAGGTCGTCCGAGGAGGCAAATTCGAACAGCGACGAAGGAGTCGTGGGAGAGCGCGAAACGGAGAAAGTTACTCCACAGCCAGTGCGCTCCCGTGCCTGCTTCCGATCGGAATGTCGTAACTCCGATCCGACTGCAAGGGAAAGCCGTCGCAGGAGCTTCGTCGAACAGCCACTGAGGAGTCGGAGAGGGAGAGAGTGAAAGCTTACGGGAGCAGAGCGAACGAGGGAGAAAGGGAGTGAGGGGGCTCGGGAGAGAGAGTGATTGCGAGAACTAGCCAGCGCAAATAACGAGCTCGATTTCATTTTAACGCCGAGACCGATCGTGCGTGAGGAGACGTTGATGTGTGGAGAAGCGACATCGGTCGTGGATACGATGTGCGGAGTTCGGCGCCGACAGGTACGTTATTGTATTTTTTTTGTATACGATTACAGGTCAACAGCACTCAAATTTCTCTACATCCTAGACCACTAAAATCTGAGAATTTCTCTCAGGTTTTGGTGAACATCTGAGAAACTGATTTCCCTCCCTTCCGCTGGCTGAAATCCTCCAAAGTAGCAAAGCCGGCGTTTTCGTTCTACATCAGTTATGTTTTGTATGCAGAATTTGATTTAAGAGTATTGTAGTTCTCTTTTTTGTGAGGGATCCTAGCGGCATCTAGGGTTTGGGAGAGAAGATTCTCCTCTCGAAAGAGGATTTGATGTGAAACACTATCGGAATTGCACGGAGACATAATAAGACAACTGAGTAAGCAAGTCGATATAAAGATTAACGAGTCACAATTAATGATTTAATGAAATCTCAGTTGCAGAATTGCTTAGGCATTGTTACAAACTCATTAGGCACAACAATTTAAAACAATAACAAACATGCGAGTAATGACGAATGCACTTTAACAATAATCCGCGGGTTAATATTTAGAAAAGTCACCTTGAGTTTCCCTCACTCAAGCTCTCTTGCGGTTAACAGAAGAAAGATATTAGCAACACTAATGTAATCACCATGAGGAAGAGGGAGCTTACAATACTGTCCACGGGAAAGCTATTCGGAGCTGGAGGAGTTGATGAACAGTGCAAGAGTGTATTCCCGGAGGGTTTAACAGCATTCTTTTTACTAGAATTCTTGGGACAGCAATCTGTCAATATCCAGAAATTCTTGACAGCAAATGGGACCGTTCCAGCAACCTGGACATCAAACTACCTTGCTGAAAATTGCAGGACAGCAATCCTTTGAGGTGGACAGAACTCTGGGCAGCAGTTATGGGGAGACTAGGGCTGCTGGACAGCTGGCCGTGGCCTTCAAGTGGTGCAGGACAGCAGGTTGTCCTCTCTGAAATTCTGGGACAGCAATCCGTAATACCAAAGAATAGAATAAACCAAGGGGAAAACTGTGAGGGCCGGCTGCTGGGGTTGAGAGGGAATTACGGATTGTTTGGAAGGCTTAAGGGAAGGAATTAATGTGAGTTAATTAGTTCATGGAGAGAGGTAGTGGAGAGGGAAGGAGAGTTACTCAAATATGAAATTAACTACAGAATTTGAGTAGATTAGGAGGGAATTAATTTGAAGTTGATTTCAAATTTCAAATAGAGATAAGGGGGATTAATGGGCATTAAGTGGGGCCCATTAAGAAGGGTGCCGGCGGGTGCTAGAGAGAGGGGAGGGAGTTATTTTAAACCTGAAATTAATTTCAGGTTTTGAATGAAATAGGGGGAAGATTAATTTGAAATTGATTTCAAATTCATGTGTAATCAATGCATCTCCATTCATGGTGAGGCCGGCGGCATGGAGAGAGGGGAGGAGGGAGATTATGGATTGATTATTTACCTTCCCATCATGTTGATGCCACATAGGATAAAAATTAATAATTTCACATGTCATGAAATTTGGATTGGATCAAATTCAAAAACTTTCCTTTTTAGACTTTTGCAAATATGGAAAGTTTTGAACCTCAAATTTGAATTTCAAATTTTGAATTCAAAATTGCTAGATTCTTCCTTTATTGCAAAACCCAAGTTAAGGAGTCATTATGACGATTTGAATGTCATAATGACTTGGATCATGAGTGTGGCCGGCGGTCCAAAGGAGGGAGGAGATGCCGCCGATCGGGTGGGGAAGGCCGTGGGAAGGAGGCCGGCGATCAGGTGGGGATGGTCGTCGGCTTGGGGAGGTGGAGCTAGGGGAAGACTTGGGTGGATGAAGAGGGGAGAAAGGAGATGAACAAGAATATATGATAAAGATAGAGATAACTAACGAACTCACAAAGAGATCGTAAGAACCGCGAACCTTGGACTCTTCCAAAGGTTGACGGGTATTTCAAATTACCCTCCTCGCGCTTCTCTTCTCATGAACTCACGAAGAGATCAACATGAACTCACTAAGAGATCAACAAGAACATAAAAATTTCATTATCAATAATTCATCATCTCATACAATGCATGAGGCCTCTTATAAATAGGCCAAAATGAAACAAAACTAAAAAGACATAAATGCCCTCGAGGCTACAATATCAAAAGACCACCCATAAGGGTAAAACTGTAAAACTGAAAAATAAAATAAACTACTACATAAAATGACCCAAAATAAAACTCCTGATCGTGGCCGTCGATCTCCGGCGTCTCCGATGGTACACGTGTCGAATTCACCGACGATGTCCTCATCAGGATCATTGTATCTTGTTTTGTTCGCATTTGATTTTCTATCAATAAAAATCTGTTTTTGTGTTGAATCTCTTAGATTTTGTTGTTGTTTTTTATACCAAGGCACATCAAATTGTCAAAGCACTTTTTTCCTAAATAATTCTCCTTTAATTAAGAACCTTCCGAAATAGTTTCCTCTTGATTAGGAAACTTCCTAATGCCCTCCCGATCAAATCGGCCGGTCCATCAGAATGTTGTATAACCTGTTGCTGAGAAGGGAATCGTTCTCAATTCGCATAGGACCGAGGGAAGTGCTTCGACCCAATTTTCCTTTTGTTCATTCTACCTTTTTCGTTAGAAGATTTATTATCTACTTGTTTGCCACCACAACTTGCCCATTGGTCTACAGGTGGTGAATTGAGCCAGACTCAAGGCAAAAGCCTTTTGACTCACAAAAGTCTTTAATTCTCTTGTCAGTAAACTGTGATCCATTGTCAGTTCTTGTAGTTAGGGGAAGATCTTACGTACAGATGATATTAGCCTTATGAAGTTTGTAATGATCACGATTGTAGTCTTGGGGAGTGCCTTTGTTTCAATCTATTTTGTGAAGTAGTCCACCACTACCCAATTCACTTGGTGGCCTTCCTCCAAATGCATCACTACTTCAATTGTGGGTTTGACAATTTTCAAGGCAGATCATCCATTTGGGTTGCCCTGCTTTGAGAACAAATCGATGAGTTAGTTTTACTCCATCATGATTTGCGTTATTCTGAAGTCTGTGAACTTGCTGATCTCTGTCTTCACCTTAAAGAGATATTTCAATAAATCCTCATCCTGCACTTCATGCTCGTAGTTTGTTTGACTAATTTTATGCTTATTGTTGATTATCTAACACAATCCTTCTTATTTTCTCATCTAGGTCTTAGGATCTGACAAGGGAACTGTTTATTTGAAAATATTATTAAAACAAAAAGAAATTCAAATTGTCACATTACATCCAAATTAACAAAGGAGAATATGCTTAGTTTTTTAAAGAAATATTGTCGTCATGTATTAAAGGCACATGCATTTTTACTAGTGTACTGCTATGATTTGATTTAGCATCTCTTTTTCGTTTGATACTCAGGTGGCTCGTGAGACCAATGAAGAGCTTCGCGCAATTTCTGCTGACCCAGCTGAGGGATTTGATATAGGAGCCATCCTTTCTGTTGCAAGGAGGTGCATTTTTTTGTTACCTGGGAAACAGCTAGGTTTTAAAGGTTACTTATGCCTCTATAATTGACGTGTTGATATTCCTCTTGTGCTTCTATATGGGCCACAGAGAGAACCATACAAGAAGGATTTTGTTTATGTTTTTTGATTTGTTGTCGGAAATAAGTTGGTTATTGGCTATTTTTTTAAAAAAACTGTGATAATGTTGATTCTTTTGGATGAACAAATTGATAGTTCCATTCTCCAAACAGACAATTAACGAGCGAATTTGAAGCAACAAGGCTGGAATCTCTTCACTGGATTCGAACACTTTTAGCTCGTCAACGTCCTAAGGTATTGTTCAATGTTTTTTTGCAAGTTAATTAATTTTCTTTTCTTCCATCTTCGTTTGTCCCCGTACTTTATGATGCTTGTGTAAAATTGTCTTCTGAGTTTGTGTAGTGATGAATATTTTTTTTTTAACTTTGATGAATGATGGTTTTCAAGACATTATATTTCTCTGTTATTCAAATATAAAAAAAAAAGATTTTTATTAGAAAACAACTAGTAAGTTTTCATATTTACTGGCATATAACTTTAATTCCTTACGATTCCTGTTTACCACACTATTTTACTACTCTTGTATACCACCTTAGCATCTAGTTTTTGCGATATATTTAGTAGCATCGGGTGTTGTATGCTTGATTAAAGTGATTTGGGTGAGGTTAAATTTCAAAATAGTCCCCGACTATTCGTATATGGTCATTTTAGTCCTAGAGTATCATGTTACTCCCATTTAGTTTATCGATTATACAAAATTGATTCAAAATGGTTCCTTTGGGACTAAATTGAGTTCAATTTTGTAAAGTCGAGGGACTAAATTGGAATCAGTTTTATACCACAATTATAACATTAGGGACTATTTTGGATCACTTTTGTATAGTTGAGGGACTAAATTCTATTTTTGATATTTTTCTAGATTTGGGTGGTATACCAATAAGCATCCCTGTAAAAAAAAACTGTTCTCTTTTGCAGCTGTTTTTGCTTGAACTTGCCCTTATTTCTATGATACTATGGACTACATTTGGGAAAATTTTTGTTAATATGGTTTAGTTAAAATTAATTTTGCTTGTTATTCTATGATTTTATTATTATAGATTGCAAAGAAATTTGAGTGTTTCGGTAACTGTCATTTGTAGACTTTCTTAAAATTTGAATTTAACAAGTGGGAGATCATTAATTGATTTTTTTTCTTTGTAATGTACAGTAAGTGCAGAAACATTATATTTTATATTCATAAGTATTAACTTATGTTTTGTTTTTTTCCTTATTATTATTTTTAGACTTTAGGGTCCACAAGACTGATTGAACTCGCTAAAATTTTTTAATGATTTATTGTTGTATTGGATTGACACATTTTTCATACATTTTTCATGCATTTTAAACTGCATAATGATTTTTATAATATATAACCATAAACTCAACATGGTTGAAAGGAAAAAAAATATAGATGACTTTGGCCTCATTGTAAAATAGATGAATAGGAAATGAAGCATCGTAAGAAGGCGCAGGGCGCTTCTCCTTCTCTTGGCAGATTCCATCATTTGGGCCTAAATTGGCAGTAACTGTAGATAATTCATTTCTGATTATTCTTACACACCAATTGTTGGCTCTTCTTCCTCCAATCTTCACGCTCATTATCCCATGTTTCTTACCAATTCGTTTAAAGGTTTCAAGATCAATTGTTTCAAAAGTTTGGATTCTAGACATTTTACATGTGATTGTAGAAATGTTGTTAATTGTTTTGGTAGTCATAAGATGGCCATAGATTGATTTTCTAACCATCTTCATTTCGCTAGGATCTTATTTCTATGCCCTTCCTCAAATCTGTGGAAGAGGACAAGGCCCATTTCAAAGTTTATAGTTACATCTATGTCTCTGTTATTAGGATTGGAAGGGAAGATCACACCGAAGTTGTCAATTGGCATTGTAATAATGATTGGATTCTTTCCATCTCGTTTATCAAATCTGTTTTTTTTTTTCTCTCGCTAAATTCAAATCTTGATAGGTACTTCTCTTGTGGAAAAGGCTGTTTGCTTAGCAGTTTCAAGATGACGGTGAATCATTTGTGTGAAAAGATTGAGCCAGCCCAATTGTGCTTAAGAAATCACTCAGATTGGATCGTATTGGTTTGCCTTCTTGATATTGGAACTTGGCAGCTCTAGAATTCATTTTCTCTAAATTTGGATTGATATTGACCTGGACCAATATATTATTGAAAAATATTTGCTTTCTGAAGCCAAGTTTCTTGTTGAAGTACTAGATGTTAATGTGATCCCTTGAACTATTGACATTCATTCTGGAGATTTGTCTAGAAAGTTAGATTAAATCTGTTTAGTAATTCTGAGCCTTCCATTGTTTCAATCTCTTAAATGGTTCCTTCATTGTAATGTAAACTTAAAAATCCGGATTGTTATCTTAAAATTGAAAACATTAATCATGTTTCTTCAAAGACAATTAAGAATAAGAACAACAATTTTCATCTTCCTAGATTATCGGAGGAAGTGTAAAGCAGATTTGTTCCATTTACAGGAAGTTTTTAATGAGCATAATGGCAATTCAATTCCAGACAATTTCAGCAATTCAAATCTAAAGGTGACTTCAAATTCAAATTCTTTGCATGGGAACACTTCAATGATTTTCTATGCTTCCAAGCTTTCCATTAAATGCGTTGAATTTAGCTATTCATTTCCCAAGGGGATTTCAAATTCAAATTCTTTGCATGGGAATGCTTCAATGGTTTCCTATTCTCTTCAGCATTCCCCTAAATGCATTGATTTTTCCGCACCAGCTGGGTATATGGCTTTGATATCTAGACTTGACATTTTGAAACTTAACTTTTCCTATCATTCATGCCATTAACAGCTAGCAGAATTTTCTTCTTCCTGCCAGCTGCATATAGGTAACTCAGAAGAGATTCTGCCAAGAAGGATAGTGTTGATTTGCAGCCCTTTTGAGATGTTGGTAGCAACTTTTTAGAATCAAATTCTGAAAAGTTTTTCACAAAGAGCTTTTTCATAAAAAAGTTTTTATAGAATAAATTTCTTTGGGCTTCTTATAATTATTATGGAACAAATTTAATTCTTTATTTAAAGAACAATCTCCTTTCTATTGAATTCCTGCTCAAATGACAAATTCATCGTGTGTAAGTAATAATATAGGAAAAAAATAGTATTTTAGTTATCAATAACTATCGTAAGAAAAGAACAGTTCTCTGATGTGATCAATAGCTTTTCTGCTATGCTTTGACTCTATTCAACTTGTTGTCACCCTCTTCGAGTGTACATTGCCGGCTCTTTTAGAGATTGTGGTTTTCGTACTTTTGACGATAATGGAAAGGATCAGTTGTAGATTTCTTGTTTGTTTGTTTATCTACACGATATAGTTTACTTCATGCTATGAAGATTTGCTATTGGAATTTTAGAGGTTTAGGTTTTTCTGTTAGAAGAAGAATGCTCTTTGAAGGTGTTCAATTACAAAACTTTATATCATCCATGTTTAAGAATCCCAACTGTTCAATCCATTGTCTGTTCTCTCTTTTGTTGTTGATAATAGTATTAATGATTTACTAAAGCTTAATATCATTGGGGAAATATAGTGGCATCCTCTATGGTTGGAATTCTAAAAAATTCAACTCTTTATCCCACTCAGTTGGTTGGTTTTCTATTTCCATTCGCTTTATACAATTTGCGTAAAATTTAACCCATTATTACCTACTGTTTTTGGTCCGTTGGATGAATCTAAGAAGATTTTATTTTTGAATGCATTTTTTGTGGTTGTTACCAAATGATCTAGTATATGGTTGTTTTGTGCAGATTTTAATGACACCATTTATTAGAGGATAGATTCTCTAATAGTTTTAAACTATTTTTTGACTTCTTTATTGATTTGGTGAATGAATTTAACTTGATTGGAATTTCTCTTTCAATTTGGAATTTATTTGGTCAAAGAATAGAAAATATTATATCTTGGCCAAATTGGATCGATTTCTTATTCTCACACTACTTGAAGATCATTTTCCCAGTTGTCTTAAAAGTTTCCAAGAGGCTCTTCTTGGATCACTATCTTATCATCTTTTTCTTGGCCATAAACAATGCAGCACATTTTTTATATGAGAATTTCCTGTTCGCAAAGAGGAATTCAAAGAGATGAGATAATTGGTGTAATAATATAACAATTTTTTTTCCTTTTTAAGAGCTTAACGTAGTTTAGATTGTGGGTAGTTATTTTGGAAAATATATAATAACATCAGTGGAAGATATTATAGATCCTGAATGTTATGAATTGATGATAACTCTTGTCTGTCTTATGTACTCTATGCATAAATATATGATATTAACAATATCAGAGCTAAGTGCCTAAGTTTATTGCAGTAATGAAATATCAAATATCAAGAATTTTATTAACGAATTAAAGTTAATTTCGGGAACCATTATTTTTAGCAGATCTAATGAGATCTTTAGAAGCATTCATTGATGATTAAGCTTTTTTTCCTCATTATATTTAGATTTTACATGATTATAACGTATCTGCTATTTGAAATCAATCTCTTTATAATCCCTGTGAAGCTGTATTATTAGCATTTCCATTGGCATATGCAAGTTTTATGTGATGACCTTACTACAATGCTATCTCTCGAAGAGCTTGTCTTGCAGTATTCTTTTTGGTCTTGTTTCTCTAGCTTCGAATTTCAGTACCATTTTTTTTGTGATTCAGGTCATAACATACTTGAATGACATCTTTGACTCCCTTTTGAGGGCATTAGCAGATCCTTCAGATGAGGTATAATTATTCCGCCAGTAATTTTTCATCATTGTATTCTTTTATCATTTTCTTGTTTGAATATTTCTGGTCATTAATAATTTATTCTATAATTGTGATTTTTTTCTTTGTTCCCTTGATATACATATGTATAGCCGTGTCATTGCTACTTGCCATTATTAATTTTTTGAAGGTTAATGCGCTCTGATTATTTCTTTGGTTGTCTTTCTCTAATGTAAATGGAGCTGCGTGTTTCTCATTTTCTTTGCAATCTTTTCATATTATCTCTTTTCTTCATTCTTATGATTTAAAATTGTAGGTTATATCATGTTTTCATTTCGTAGGATTAGAAATAGGACTTCTTCTATTTTTGGTTGCACATCTTTTTAATGAGCAGTTTAATATTTTAAGATGGTATTTTTTTCTAGGGAACATTATTTTTTTTATTCTCGGCCTTTCTAGGCACTCACAGCTGGGAGTTCTTTTATTTCAAAATGATTTCGTATGACTGGTCCTATAGCTTTCTTTAACTTCTGAATAGATCAAGTGGCAAATAGCTAATAAGTAATAGAAGATCAAAAGGTCATTGGGAAATGTGTTTGACTTTTGGCATCCCTTCAATGATTGATTCTTCTCGCTTATCTTCTTTGGAGAACATTTCTTGCCATTTTCTAATATTTTACATTTCTCAATGCCTACATGATAAAAAAAAGAAAGAAAGCTCTACCACTATAAATTAGCTATTACCGTGCTGTGAATAGAACTGTAGAAAAAAATCTTGACATTTGATATTTCATTTATTCGTCTACAAGGAAGTGCCAAAACTTGATGGAAACTTGCAAGTTTATACTCAGAAACTTAGAAATTAGGTGTGAGCATTGATGAGCCTGTGACATTTTGAGTTGTGTTGTTTTATTTATTTTTAGTTTGATTTGATGTAGCATACCTATGATGATGATGCTTGTCGGAATAATGTGTTCTCTAATTATTTTTTGTTCTTTTGGTCAATTTTGTTAACTGCTTAGACCGTAAGTTGATTCAATTCTCATCGAATTGCCTAGTTCACAATTTCGTCTTCAGCACTATCGATTTCCTATACTATCCAACCAATAATTTAGAAGTTTACTATCGCTCTTGTCTTAGTTTACTTGTTACCTTTCTGATTCGACACTGCAGTATGATTAGATTCTTGCTATTGTCATTGATTTGTTGAGTGGTACTGTTGATGCTTATCGTTGTTGTTGGATTGTGCAAAAAATATTTTGGCTTTATTTCTGTTCTTGTTTTCTTTGTATTTTTTGATTCCATATCTTGCTCTATTTTTGGGCTGAGAGTTGCGACATTCTTAATCGAGCTTGAAATTGGGTCACTAGCTGTTCCCTTCTACGAATTTCCTACTGTGAACCTTACTTTCCATCCTTCTAGTTGCCAGTAGTATGAGAAGAATTACCTCTCGATTTTGAGAGAGAATTGAGGAATCACTTAAGATTTGGCTGACTCCTAAATGTGTTCATGACGGTGCTTATGGTGAGAGAGAAGAGAAGGAAGTAAAGGAGAGAAATGAGTATGAGAAGAACTATCGTTCAAGTTTGATAGATAGATGGTTTGGAAACCATTAACAAATCGGCTTACTCCCAAATGCTATTGTAGTGGTTTTCTATGCTTGGAGAAAAAAGAAGAAAGAACTCACCATGCATAGACATAAGATTTATTGTGGTTTGTTGATTTATTACTACATCTACTATTCGGCAGGGAGGAGTCCTTAATTTTTACCAAGGGTTGCATTGTAATAAATAGTATATCAATAAAAAGAAAAGTAAGCTGTGGAAGGTTGCGTCTCAATATGAGTGTGCCAGCTAAGCTCTTAAAGTGGAGAATGATCCTTTGAAGCTCATAAGAGGCTTGAGAGAATGTATGGAGAGATGATGCTGGAAGGATTCCACCTTTGTAGCATTAGGGTTCTGTTAGACTTGGACCGGCCCAGGATGGCTAGTTGAACCAGCCCAGGGTCTGGTTTACTCCAGACAGTCAAAGCAAGCCGCTGGCCCCCTTGTGGGGCCCAGTACTTGGAGAGGAGGGGGCGATTTAGGCAGGTTTTGATTTAGAGAAGAATTGTTTAGTAATTAAGTATATATATATATATATATATATATTCATTATTCATGAGTATACAAATGCCTAATTGGGATTATATTTGAATGCTTTAAATAGATAGGAGGGATTAGGGTTAGGGGTTTCTTGTTGTTTGCAGAATTCTGTTTTGGTGCTTAGCTTAGGGTTGCTTGGGCTCTAGCAACATCTAGAGAATTGGGAGAGATAGATCCTCCTCTCGAATTGAGGATCAATTGTATCTAGTTATTTTCTTCTCTATTTCATCATTTACTACGTTGTTCTTGCTATTCCTCTTGGATTCTTTTAAAATTTGTGGTGGGAAATTGCTGAAATCAAATAATTAATAGGCTTCTCTTGAATTCTACAAGTGTTTCATATCAGTTTCTTCCCAAGGAAGAAGGTTATCTCTTTTTCTATTTTATGATGAGGTTTTTTGTAATTGATGTCATTGATCCTCCTCCTCCCTCTTCCTCTCCCTCTATTGGTGAGTTGCTTGAATGGGTTTTATAGGAGCAGTGATTGTTGCATTCAATTACCACTTCTTGTAAAGTGAAAAGGATGGATATGCGGAAGACATGTGGATGAGTTGGGAGTTATGAAAGGGTAATGATGATTCTTTTGAGGAAAGAGTTATAACTATACTATAGGTTAGCATGGTTTAACATTGCACAATTAGATGCTTGACTCAAGACTCTTCTCAACGCAATATAAAAAAAATATAATGAGGTGTATGTCTCATGCTCGCCAAATGAGGCTTACAGCTTACTCCTTGGTAGAGGTGAGGCATGCCTCAACGCAATTTTAAAACAATATTGAAAATTAAGGTTTAGGTAATTTTAATTTTAATTTGTGAACTTTATATTTAAATTTGACATATCTGCATCTAAACTAAACAAATCCAAACTCGGTGTCGTGGAACCCTCATGCTTGCACCTATCCTAATTGCATTATCCCACTGTTGTCTACAACTCCATTGCATTGCTGCTGTGTCTACTCAATGCCTCTCCTTTTGTTGTTAGAAACTTATTTTCTTATTTTTAATACGGAGAGAATGCATTTAACTACAATTATGATTTTAATAGAGGCCATCTAAGTGATGAGTAAGGCTGCAAATGAACTGAACCGAGTCGTGCCGAGTATGCGTGTGTTCTTATTTGAGCTTATTTATTATCAGCTTGTTAAAGTTCGGTTCGAGTTCGATTCGAGCTTTTTTATTTGTGTTCAAGTTCGGTTCTGAGTTCGATTAGAGTTTCTTCCAACTGAACCAACCTAGCCTTGCTGCAAGTCATCGAAAAAACCAACACTTTCAATCTCGTGAAACCACATGACCAAACTCTCTCCAATCTGTTCTGTTTCGCACACCTCTTCGGCCACCTTCCGATCATGGAAGTAATGAGCAGCCCAGCCCAGCGTCCCCATTCGTACAGAGGGCTGGTCTGACTTTGACTCCCCATTCGTGTAACCCCCTGCATGCGATCAACGTGAACAGCCCACTCTAGAGTCGCATGCTTACCTACACTTTTGCCTCCGTGAACCTCTTCCACACGCCCACCTATCCTTGCTATCATGCATCTCTCGTCTCTGATCTGCGTGCCTTCAATTTGTACAATATCGTACTTCTATTGCTGTCTATACACAAAGTTCCTTCGTGTGCTGTTTTACCCACATGAGCCACTGTTGGTTTATTCTTGACTGGAAGCATAACAACAAGTGCTATATTCTAAACTTATGATTGTCGGATATTCCTCCAAATAGATTTTTATTTTGAGTAATTAAAATAATTAAAATATCTTCATCTGTAGGTTGCATATATCAAAACCCGCGCCATCGATCTCTGATTTGGGTGGATGGTTTTAATTTTTCGAAGTCCCGCATTGTCGATCTCTGATCCTTGTGGTAAATTTTAAAATTCGAAGACTCTACGCCATCGATCTTTGATATGGGTAGAATTGTTGCTAATTTGAAGACTCATGCCATCGATCTCCGATATGGGCGGATTATTTTAAAATATGAGACTCTATACCGTAAATCTCTGATCCGGGTAGAATAATTTAAAATTTGAAGACCCCGCGTCGTTGATTTTTGATCCGACCAGGATAAAATTATGGGAAGTGCCGTCCCGACCTCTCATGTAGGGAGGGGACGTTGGTAGGGGTGTCAATTTTGGGTCACGGGTCGGGTTCGGGTCGAACCCAAACGGGTTGATTTTTCTGACCCGAACCCGACCTGCTTCGGGTTCGGGTCAACCCGACCCGATCTGTTTAGGGTCACGCGAAGAGTCTCGGACAGCGGACGGCTGAGTCGCAGACGCCGGTCACGCCAGCCACGCGGATGCCGGCCATGCTCGACGCCAGTCACACGGATGGCGGACGGCTGATGTCATGCGGACGCCGGTCAAGCGGACTGTCACGCGGACACGCAGGTCACACGGACGCCAGTTTGCAGACGCGATGGCGCGATGCGACCTCGGGGCAGGCGGGCAGGGCCGGGCGGATTTCCGGGTCATTCCCGGGTTCCCGGGTCAACCCAAACCAGACCCGGTTTTGCAAACGGGTCGGTTTTCTGGACCCAAACTCGCCCCGCTTTGGGTTTGGGTCAACCCAAACCCAAAATTTTTGGGTCGGATCCAATATTGATAGGTTTAGACGTCGGGAGTTAGGGTGCAACCAAGTCAAGCCGGCTTGCGAGCCGGCTCGGGCTCAACTCGATAACAGGCTCGATCGAGCTCGCGAGTCGAGCTCGAACACTATTTCGAGCTTGATGGCTTATCGAGCTCAAGCTCAAATAGAGCACTGCTCGGCTTGTAGGCTCGACGAGCTGCTCGATGGAGGAGGCTCGGAGATGAGTTTGCTCGACGGCGGGAAATGCAAAATGACAAGCGGAAAAGCAAAATGACGGGCGGGAAATGC